CAGCACCTCCAGCAGCTCCAGCACCAGCAGCTCCAGTACCTCCAGTAGCTCCAACACCTCTAGCAGCTCCAGCAGCTCCAGCACCTCCAGCAGCTCCAGCACCTCCAGCAGCTCCAGCACCTCCAGCAGCTCCAGCACCTCCAGCGCCAGCACCTCCAGGACCAGCGTCACCAGCAGCAGCACCCCCAGAACCGACACCTCCAGTCCCAGGGTCTCCAGCCTCAGTGTCTCCAGCAGCAGCACCCCCAAAACCGGCACCTCCAGTCCCAGGGTCTCCAGCCTCAGTGTCTCCAGCAGCAGCACCCCCAGACGCAGAACCTTCAGTCCCATCAGCTCCAGTACCTCCAGTACGAGCACCTCCGGGACCAGCTACTTCAGCACCTCCTGTAGACAAAGTGCCAGCACCACTCCCAGCTCCAGCGACGACAGCAGAAACACCTCCAGCGGCAGAGCCCCGAGCTCCAGCAGCGCGACCCTGACGGCGAGTGTTCCACTGGTGCAGCTGCTATGGGTAGAGAGGCGCAAGGACCGAAGTCACCAGTGACCTCAACAGGCGCAGGCACGGGAGGGTCTACCTGAGAAAAAGTTGAAGGAGCAGGACCTGGCGCGGGGAGGGGGTCTACCTGGGGAGGACCTGGAGCGAGAAAGAGTGGTAGCAGGGGGCGAGGGGCAGTGCGGTAGGGAAAGAGACGGTAAAAGGGGACTGACTCGTCAAAGGTGACGTCTTGAGACGCAAAGACACGGCGCGAGGCGGGGTCGTAAAACTGCCAGCCAGGCGCATCAGGAGGAAAACCAAGGAAGACGCAAGGAATGGCGCGAGCGGAGAGCAAGTGGGCTCTAGTGGCGTCGTCAGGGGCAGGGCCTAAAGGCGTAGGTTCGGGGGGCGCAGGGAGGGCACCAGTAGCGTGCGCCCAGAGGGTCTCGCCTGACTGGACCTGACTCTCTTATTGACGGCGAGCGCGCATAAGCCAGAGTGAAAAGTCAAGGGGTCTACCGTCAGCGTCGAAACGAAGAACACGCGGAGTCGCCATAGCTGAAACTGACGGAAGAGCGGAGGCAAATGGCAACTAGGGAGGCACCCTAGTGAAGGAGAGGCGCGGCTGCAGGCGAGACCAGCAGCCGCGATTGGCGGGAGGAGCAAACGCTACAGCGGACGCGACAGCGAAGTGCGGCAGCGCGCGCGGCGGGCGAGGGCAGCGCGCGCAGCGGCGGGCGACGGGAGCGGGCGCCGCGGCGGCGTGCGCGGAAGGGGCGGGCAGCGGCGGCGGGCACAGCGGCGACGGGCGCAGGCTGCGGGCGCGGAGGCGGGCGACGGGAGGAGGCCCAGCGGCGGCGCGCGTAGGAGGGGACGGGCGACGGGACGACGGGCAGGGAGAGGGCGACGCGACGGGGGCAGGGGAAGGCGCGATTCGACGGGCAGCGGGGGGGGGGGGGGGGGGGGGGGGGGGGGGGGGAACGCGACTCGACGGGCAGCGGGGGGAAAAATGCGACTCTACGGGCAGCGGGGGGGAAAACGCGACGGGCAGCAGGGGGGGGGGGGGGGGGGGGGGGGGGGGGGAGGTCGCTACACTACGAGAGGAGTGGATCGGCGGAACGGGCGGTAACGAAGGAACGCGACTAGAGCGGGCCGGCGCTAGGCTCGGGCAAGACGTGCGCAACTAGTACGACAGAGGGAGACAGGCTCGGGCGAAACGAACGAGGTTGGGAGGAGCGGGATCCCACAGAATCTGAACCTAGGTGATACCATGTCAAACTGAGGAATGAATGATGCATTGATGTTGGTTTGGGGTACATATAACAAACCCTAACTTTTGTACCCCCTAAGACAAACCTCACTACAGGCTACAATAATTGACAAAGGATGGCTTAAAAAAAAAAACGCTACAAGCAGCTATGAAAGAAAATGGTGAAGATTCCCAACCCAACTTATAGTAAGGCTCATAAGGGCGATTCACCATGTTAACCAGAGGCTAGTGCTACCCCCATTTTCTCTTTCTATTGCAATAGTACACTTGGATTTTCCCTTGTATTTCAGATTGAGGCTGGTGTCTGAAATATAAATCACTGTAGCATTAAACGTTGAATCTGGACTGCAAGCTCGGCTGAGACAGCTGGTATCGGGACTTCCGAGCTCCCTCTGCTTCACTCGAGCAACAGCACAGGTTCGAATTTCGGGCTTGGGCTTGCGCTGGGGATCGCGGCGTGCAGGGAAGAAAATGATCGGATTATTTCCGCGAGTTCTGCTGAGCTGGCGGAGGAGATTGGATACCGTGCATAAGAGCGTGTTACACCTGCCCTATTTTCAAGGATCACGTAGCTGAGATCACCAACACCCCAACCGTAGGATTCAGAGTGGTCAAACAACAAGTTTTTGGGGCACATCACGATCCTTGTTGGTGTACCATCTGCAAAATTGCAGTGGTGATCCCCTGCGACCAGGCAACGTCGCCTGAAACTACGCGACAGTCGCGATTTTTGGATATGTTCATTGACCATGTTGACTGCGTTACTGGCGCGAATTCAACAGCCTCATTGGTTCGAATTCCATCAAAAGAATGCTCTGATTAGTTGCGAGCTTGTTACACAAAATTGCGACATAAAACTTTTTGTCGTCAAGGATCACCCTGTCTTTGGTACAATGATGCAAGGATCACCGAGAGATTGGCAGTCACCATGATCTCTCGGTAAACACCAAGATCGGGTAGCGTAGGGAACTCGTGATTGCGATCCTTCCTCTGTTGGTACATCACCTGACACAGTGATTACTGTAGAATGGTAGGTATGACACTGTTCCGCAAGGATCGCCTGCGCGATCCTCAAAATGCAGCAATCTTTGCTTGGGTGTAACACGCTCTAAGAATGTCGAACAACTCGCGGCGGGTGCTTCGGCGTCGTACGGCGGCAAAGCGACGATTCCGGTGGAATGGCGGCCTTGGATCGTTCGGGGCGCGGCGGTGCTTCTGGCTCTGGGTGTCGCGCACTGCTTCCTCGTCGTCAACGAGGTGCGCGCGTCTCACCAGAGGCAGTGCTCCTCGCCTCCTTGCACCTCCTGGCCTCGCTGGCGACGATGATGCGGATGTGACACTGCGTGCTTGTTGCGTCAATGTAGCGAGACAAAGCACGCCAATTCCACGTTTTGTTCGAGTGAGTCAACTTCAAGAATTCTCAATTCCAGCTTCTGTTCTGCTTCGCCGTCACTCTACAACGCTGCTGCCTGCACCAATGGCTCTGTATTTTGCTTCGATCTGCTCTGTGAATTCTCTTGTTACCTGAATCGTTCCCCGCCCTTACATCTCCTCGCCATACCTCCCTCGTTCGGTTCCGAACATCAGGCTTGGGTGGACAGCCTGGAGCTTGGGAATCTCTCCCCACATCCCAAAATGTGCGAGGTCGGGGTGGGATGTTTTTTTGGGATTGCGAAGGAGTATCTGGGTTCGCGACTCGGGAATCAGTGGGTCAGAGCATCAACGAAATTTCCGCGCCACCCTCTCGAGCGATATTATTGGTCGAACCATTTCAACTTCACCCAGGAAACTTCCAACAAACCATTCGGGCGATTGCTATTGGTCGTTCAATTCAAACCTACTGCTCTGTAAGAATAGAGTTTTGATGTACTCCTTCCAAGAAGCAGCGGCTTGCGAAAGGTTTGGCACAGAGGTCCCGCTAAAAATGTTCTCCGTTACTGTGCACTCAGAAAAAATTGTGATGGAAATTGTTTGTTGTAATGTGCCTTTTCAAAAATAGTAAAGAGCTTTGAATTCTTAGACATGCATTTTTGGGTTGCGTAGCAACCTTATACAATTGTTTTCACTTTTCGGTTGACTGACGTGAACAGTGATTTTCCCCCATATATTTTGGATGAACTCACTGTTCACGTCAGTTTAACGAAATGTGAAACCAAATGTATTTAACCAATCATTCCATAGTCGTCGATAAATACGGCGAATGGAACAATTGGTTGTACCAAAGCAAAAAACGACAACACCTCTAAGACACGCAAACAAGGACTAAACAGACACATTACACAATTACCACATACTAGAACATGTACAAAAACCACATAAAACAAGGGACAACAGTTGTGAATGCTTCGAAGCTAATGCTAGAATGCATCGTTGATGCAACTGCGATTGATCTGGTATGGAAGAGGCAAGCTAAGCTGCCCCACCAACGATCACAACCCCAATTGCATTAACAAGGCACTTAGCACTCACCTCGAAACAGACACACAAAACACTACGTACATATACGCACACACACATACAGGCTCACACACATACGCACACACACACGGACAACCACAGAAACATACAGCTATGTAATCAACATGCAAGAATATGAAGTTCAACTATGTATAAATCATTGCTAGCTTGTCCCCATTCCCCTCCTTCCCTTCCTGATCTCCCTTCTCCCACCACCCCCTCCCCCCCTCCTCCCCTCCACCCTCCTCGAATGCAGCTTGAAATCCCTGCACAGGAAAGAAAAAATCAGCAAATGCAACTCACACTCCCTGCACAAACAAAAACAAAGCAGAGAGTACACTTGCATGAGCTACACAAGAGAACAGAATCAGAGAATGCAGCTCACACGATGCACCAGAAACTGATGTCACAGATCCACGCCAGAATGCATGCAGCACCTCATAGCAATTCTTGCAACACATTCACTTATTCTCGAATTCAAACCCGCGCTCACCCTCTTGCACACGCTCGCATGCATTCACAAACACTCGAATGCTTTGAACCGTTCTTAGAGACTTAGACACACTCACTGAGACACGCACAAACCCTCGCACTCAGCCTTGGATTCGCGCAAAATAAAACGAAGTAAAATAAAAAATGCCGTGACTGAATTCAGTGAGTTATGTAAGGCGCCAGCGCATCGCAACAAGGCGCCAGCACGCTGCAGTAGAAATAGTAAAGCATGATGTAAAGGGTTGTTACTAACAGTGCAGTAAATCGATAGAAGATGAATATTGAAGGCAAATCCAATTTGAAGTCTCACACGTGTGGCTTAAAACTCGAATCCAAGGCATCAAGACTAAAATATACCACATCAGCATGCACAGAAGGCATCATCTGCAGCAGAAAGGAAAGAGAGCAGAAGTGGTAGTGGAGAAGTTTTGGCACCAAGTTCACACATGGCGCCAGCGCGCATGGCGCCAGCGCGCATGGCGCCAGCGTGTATGGCGCCAGCGCGCATGGCGCCAGCGCGCATGGCGCCAGCGCGTTAGGCGCCAGTGCGTTAGTCGCCAGCGCGTATGGCGCCAGCGCACATGGCGCCAGCGCGTATGGCGCCAGCGCGCATGGCGCCAGCGCGCATGGCGCCAGCGCGCATGGCGCCAGCGCGTTAGGCGCCAGCGCGCTAGGCGCCAGCGCGTTAGGCGCCAGCGCGTTAGGCGCCAGCGCGCATGGCGCCAGCGCGTTAGGCGCCAGCGCGCATGGCGCCAGCGCGTACGGCGCCAGCGCGCATGGCGCCAGCGCGTTGCATGGCGCCAGCGCGTTAGGAGCCAGCGCGCATGGCGCCAGCGCGCATGGCGCCAGCGCGTTAGGCGCCAGCGCACTAGGACCAATCAGCAAAAATAAGTTACGGAAAAAAGTAGGAAAAAAATGAAACTTTGGAGGGAGTGGAGAGGAAAAAAGGTCCGGGAAATGAAAACGCACCTGAAACGACGGTGCCTCACAAAACGCGCGGTCGCGCAGCAGCCCGCGCTCGCGCTCGTGCACCCACCAGGGGCGACGGCGGGAAGGGATGGAGGGCGACGGCGAGGAGGAAGGGAGAGCGACGGAGGGGACCGAGGGAGAGGCTATGATGGGGAGGGAGGGAGACGCCACGGTGGGGAGTGAGGGAGAGGCGACGGTGGGGAGTGAGGAGAGGCGACGGTGGAGTGAGGAGAGGCGACTGGAAGAATAGTTGGTAGGGAGGGAGTCGTAATAGCAGGATGAGCGATGGTTGGTTTCTCGTAAGTAAAGAGAGCAGCGTAGAGCAGCGTGGAGCAGGTGCTTGGTGCAGGTGGGCCTAGGGGTGCGTGCCTGGCTTGGTTGGGATTGTGTAGCGCTGGCAAGAAAATTTTCTGCCAAAGCAAAACAAGGCGCGAAACGGTTTTCACAATGGGAGTACAGTACATTACGAGGACGATGGCACGAATTGCAAGCTACTCGGGCACATGACATTCCGAACAAAAAAACACACAAAAACACACACAAATTTTGGATCATTATGTCACGTGACAACACGCGCACAAACACAATATCCAACTAGCTGACACGTATGGTTAGCTGCAAATAAGCAAACCCACTAAAACTATATGATAGTGCCATTTACACATAAACACCACTACAGAAATATAATATAAACATTTACCCATTACAACCATTCAATGTGAGAAAAAAAATGACGAAAAACGAATTGAGGACGGGGCACCTCTAAGGACATTGCCAGGATCGAGGGGGATCGGGGCCTCATACCGGTTTAGGCACATAGATCGGCACACCGATGTGTCCACACTGCAAAATTGCAATCGCCTAGACACACCGAGCCGCAGGTGACAGGACCGAAAATACCTGGGGCAAAAATTCCCGATCTCCACAGTTCCCCGATCGATGTGTGGGCGCTGGCACATCGATCATGCGAGCCAGAGGTGCTAGCATTTTGGGCACAACTGTACACTTGCGAGTCAGGACTAAACCAGATACCAGCGTGCTGGCGATGTCGCGATTTTACTGTACAAGCCAGGATCGATCGTGGCTTCTTCCCTAGAGGCGCCGCGTCTTAAGGAAATATAAACATGTTACAAGCAGGATGAAGATTCGTGATGTGTATATCAAACATTCCTCGTGCCTTCACACAACAAAGTATATAACTACTACGCAACCCATACGACGTTAACGTCGAGTCTTGTTTAGGTCGTATTTGTCTCCCAACACTTTTAACAGTTTGCATTACATGATTAACTATAGCAATTGTCTGTTGTGATCGTTGGGACGTTAAATTCACTACAAAATTGTTCTACCACCAACTAATTGTAAAAGATCACGACTCACTATGCCGTTTCAGCGCTGTTTTATTTTTTTTGCAAGTTGTATTCATACCACTAAGTCTTAGATGATATGAGAAGGCTGTCAACCTAATTCAATGTTAATCGCATGTAGGGAGACGATGTCGATTTAACGCCGCGTAGCTTTTTTTTTCAATGTTTTTTACCACCACTCAGTTATTAATGACAACATAAGGGCGCCAGCCGATTTTTGTGTCACTCACATGCCACCATCATGAGTGATTCCATTTTGAACATCAAATGAGGTCAAACCTTTCTGGTACAGCCATAGATATCAGAGAGTGAAGTTTCGTGTTAATTTTGAAAGTTTCCAGATAAATTTTATTTCTTTCAAATTGGTTGAGTAGGCCTAGGGGAGGCTGGAAAACCATATTCAAATTGATTCAAACCACAAACGTGGTGGTTACGAGCCAAATTGCGTGCATATGGGGCAAAAACCAACCAGGGAGAGTGTTTTCTCAGAATAACTAGGCAAGAATGGATGAACTAACAGAAGTTTGGGTACAAATATGAAACCCTAGTTGGGGTTGTACCCCATATTGGCTACCCCACTACAGCCTACAAGCATAATACAGTTTAACACACCCCCATAGGCAAAGTGGGGGAGAACAAAGGGTCACAAGACCAGTCCAGCAAAGCAAAACAAAGCCCAGGGTGGATCACAACGTCACCACACTCCGAGCACAAGTAAAGGCCACAAGGCCAGTTCACATGCAGTGCTAGATATAGTACAAGACAAGCAACACAGTGATCAAAACCTAGCAAGCAAGCAACAAGATATATATAAAGTACAGTACAAAGAATGTCAAGCAGTGAGCAAGTGAGGAAACGTGGACACAAGGCCTAAAGAAGTACAGTGCCGCTGATGATCACTAGGCGGGAGCGCCTTGGTGAAGATATCAGCAGTGTTGGCCTTCGAGTCCACGTACACAAGCCGAAGCTGACCGCGCTGCTGAAGCTCTCGAGCAAGAAAGTAGCGAAGAGCAATGTGCTTCGTCCTGTGCTCCAGTCTGTGCTCCTGACACAAGGCAAGAGCCGCCTTGTTGTCACCGTACAGAACTGGAGGAGAACTAGGCCGCTCTCCCAAGTCAGTCAGCAGGTAGGTGAGCCAGCGTAACTCCTGTGCAGCCATGGCTGTGGCGTAGATCTCAGCCTCACAACTAGAGCCGAGAACAGAGGAAGAGCGGGTGGACCGCCACGAGACAGAACCTGAGCCAAGGCTGAAGGTGTAACCCTGTGACGACCGCTGCGTAGCCAGGTCGTCCACCCAAGAGGCGTCCGAGTGACCAGTGAGGACAACTCTGTCGCGTCCTCCAAGCACCAGCCCCATGCCTGATGTACTGCACAGGTAACGCAGCACCCTCTTAGCAGCCTCCCAGTGCTCTCGCCTGTGTCTCCCAGGCGCAACGTAACGAGCAAGGATGCTAAGAGGGTACGCGAGGTCAGGTCGCGTGCAAGTCATCAGGTACATGAGGCAGCCTACAAGCTCTGGGTACGGGCCACTCGGCTCTACGGACTCGTCCGAAGGTGGAGCTGAGAGCGAGTGGCTGGTAGCCAGAGGTGTGGCCTGTGGTGAGGAGAACTGGAAGCCGAAGCGCTGAAGGACCTGCTGCACCATGTGTGACTGAGTCAGGGTGATGGTGCGGCGAGCTCTGTCCCGGGTGATCTGCAAGCCAAGGTAGCTACGCAGCTCACCCAGGTCAGTGCAGGTGTGTCTCTTCTGCAGCTCCGACTTCACACGAGCGAGTGCCTCAGTGTCAGCAGTAGCAAAGACCAAGTCGTCGACGTACACGAGAATGTAGAACGGCGGCAGCGACGTGTCTGTGCGCAGAAACAGCGACGGGTCAGCAGTAGACGGCGCGAACCCAAGAGCCGCAAGAGTAGTCCTCAGTGTGTCGTGCCACTCACGTGGCGCCTGGCGGAGACCGTAGACTGGCCGGCGGAGACTCCACTGGGTACCAGGAGGAAACGACCCAGTAAAGCCAGGTGGGCGGCGCAGCCAGATCTCCTCGTGCAGGCTGCCCTGCAGGAACGCTGTGCTGAAGTCAAGAGAGTGAAGCTCGTAGTCACGCTGAGCAGCAACGTGCAGCAGAACCCGAAGAGTGGTCATCTTCGGGGTGGGGGAGAAGGTATGGAAGAAGTCGACCCCCTGACGCTGACTGAAGCCTCTAGCAACGTAACGAGCCTTGAAGACAGGCGGAGAACCTGGCGGCCGCTTCACCCTGAAAATCCACATGCCATCGACGATGTTCGCCCCAGGAGGGGGAACCTCGTCGACGTAGGTGCCTGTGGACTTCCAGGATGCCATCTCTGCGTCCATGGGTGTCTGCCACTGAGAGGAGTAGGGACCCGAGATCGCCTCTGCATAAGTGCGCGGAGTGGGGATGTCTAGTGCATCCGGGTCTCCCTCAGGGGCAAGCAACCAGGCCACGAGATGAGGTACAGCAGCCGCAAGAGAGTCAAAGTCCTCCTGCCTGTCCTCAAGGACGTCCGTGCCAAGAGCACACTCACCCCCGACGGACGGAGGACAGACAGACGCAGACTCAGACTCAGCAACAAGGCTAGCAGCGTAGTCTAGACGACAGGCAGCAGCAAAGTCAACCAACTCAGCGACCAGAGCAGACGCAGCCGAGGACTCAAAGGTAGGGTCAGTGACAACAGTAGCGAGGAGACGCGTGACTGTAGGGTGCTCAGCGCGATACCGGTCAGACTCAGGGTCCGGAACGGCAGGCAAAGAGGACTCAGGAGGAGACGGTAGAGGGACACGCCGAGGAGCAGTAGAGGGACGCAGAGTCATGTAGTGAGTGCCTGGGACAGGAGGAGGACGCTCACGACGGACACGACTACCAGTGCGAGCAGGACGAACAGGCGACGCAGGACGAGACTCAGGCTCACGACGCTCTGTAAGACCTCCTGTGGGACCAGTATAAGGAGAGGGAGCAGGGAGAGGCGAGGCAGGCGGTAACTGTGACTGCGGCTGGACAGGCGGAGGACACTCTACGGAGGGAGGAGGACAAGGAGGAGGAGCCTGCCCAAGAACCTGCTGAAGGAGCGGTACAAAGTACGGTCGCGGCCGCGCAGCGTCTCCAGAAGCAGAAGGGACTCCAGCGGCCGGGTCCTCAGCACCAGTAGGAGCTCCAGCGTCCGGGTCCACAGCACCAGCAGCAGCTCCACCGGCCGGGTCCCCAGCTCCAGCAGCAGCTCCACCGTCCGACTCCTCAGCACCAGCAGCAGCTCCACCAGGTGGGTCCGCAGCACCAGCAGCAGCGCCACCCCCAGAGTCGGCAGCTCCAACTCCGCTAGCACCGCCAGTGCCAGAGTCCCCAGCTCCAGCAGCTCCAGTCGCAGTGCTCCCAGAACAGCCAGTCCCGGCAGCTCCAGTACCCCCAGTACGAGCACCCCCAGGACGAGCAGCTCCAGCACCCCCAACTAGGACGGCGAAAGCGTCGGACGTACCAGTCACGAAGCTGCTGCGGTGTGAGAGACTGCTCAGCACCCCGAACCGGAGCACCCCCAGACGCAGTAACCCGAGGCTCCGTAGGCTCAGTAGCAGCACCCCCAGGCTCAGTACCCGCAGGCTCAGTACCCGCAGGCTCAGCACCCCCAGTCGCAGCACCCCCAGGCTCAGCACCTCCAGGCGGCAAACTCTCAGGCACAGTACCCTCAGCTCCAGCACCCGCAGTCCCAGCACTCCCAGGCCCCGCACCCGCAGGCTCAGCACCCCCAGGCGCAGCACCCCCAGGCTCCGTACTCTCAGGCACCGTACCCTCAGCTCCAGCACCCTCAGTCCCAGCACCTGCAGCCCCAGCACCCCCAGGCCCAGCACCCCCAGGCTCAGCACCCCCAGCAGCACCACCCGCAGCAGCACCTGAGTCACCTGTGACCTCGACAGGCTCAGCGACGGGAGGAGGGTCTACCTGAGAGACACCTGAAGGAGCAGGACCCTGAGGGGGAAGGGGGTCTACCGGAGGGGGACCAGGAGCAAGGAAAAGCGGCGGGGGAGGGAGGGGGGCAGTGCGGTAGGGGAAGAGACGGTAAAAAGGGACCGACTCGTCAAAGGTGACATCCTGAGAGGCGAAGACCCGGCGCGAGGTGGGGTGGTAAAACTGCCAGCCAGGCGCGTCAGGGACAAAGCCAAGGAAGACACAGGGAAGCGTGCGGGAGGAGAGCTTGTCCGCGGACGTATCGCGGACAAGGGCACGAGCACCCCAGACCCGGAAGCGCGACGCATCGCCAACCTCCCCCGTCCAACGCAGTGTGGGC